GTACGTACCTACCTACTACTACTACCTACTATATATATATATATATATATATATATATATATATAGAGAGAGAGAGAGAGAGAGAGAGATAGAGGGTCTGAGGTCAGCCTGCTAGATTGAATACGGGCCAATTTAATGGTCACAATTGTATTTTTTATTTGAACTATAAATCTAAAGCACTTGAAAGTTAGAACGTCTACTCTTTAAAAATATACAAATCTAATAAAAATAGCAAAAACATAATTTACAAGCATTAAATAGACTAAAATACCTCTAAAACTTTCAGGGGTATTTGAGTCAGTTTATTTTTTTTTCAAATTACTTTTTAAATATTTTTATTAGGTGCGCCTTGATGAGAAGAGTGGGTGGTACCCCAAATTTCATGTAATTTGGATTTGAAGAGAAAATTAAAATTCAAATACAAAATACAGTCATGACCATCAGATCGGCCAAGATATATAAATTTTTTTTTTTTTTTTGCGTTTGGTATTTTTTTTTTCGTATCTGTTGAATATTGAAGCAGACATAAAGACATGCTACTCACTGTCTTCACAAAATGCTAGTGTAAAAAACAATCCTCTTTCAGAGGTTCAACCCATAGGAGGCAAGAATTGCCACATTCCATGCCACTATCACAACCAACAGCCACATGCAACTACTAACAGTCAATTTCACCTCTAGTCTTCTCAAGATTACCCACATCATAATCAAAAGAAAAGATGTGTATTTGGTGATGCCTACACACTTGATTTTATTGAACAGAAAACAAATTGCCAAAGCCTAAGAAATGGAAATACATCTGAATCTTACCCGATAGATATTCATTTTTCAATTTGAGCTCACAGATGTCTGGGAAGCGTGAGAGTATGTCCTCATCTTCATCCTCATCGAATGGATCATATGCTTCAATCCCTGAAAGAATTCCAGTAACATAATTGACAGGTAAGCAATGAGAGAGAGACAAACACAAGAGGAGGTAATAAATGTTTTTATTTGGCTATGTAGAAGAGTTCCATGCAAGATTTTTTTTTTGAGTATTTCAGCTGTGGGAAACAAACTCGACATAATCTGGCAATCTTCAACTCCTAAAACAATCAAGCCCAAGACTGAATTCAATCTGTGCAACCAGGTTGGTATTGACACACAAGGAAGTGCCGATATACATGTGAACATTCATGTCCAGGTGTTTGTCTGTGGATGAATACAACTAAATGCATTCACACAGCATTTAGCTATATGGTAATGTGTTCATGTGACACACACACATATGTGTATAGATAGATAGATAGACAGATAGATGGATAGATAGGTAGTAGATAGATGGAGAGCATATACTATGCTCCCGCGGAAGCAACACTATACACCTTGCTTGGGCAGAGACCTACTTGGGAGGATTTTTTTAATCCATAAGTTTGGGATCCATCTAAATATCATCAGATAATTATTTTCATGGGAAAAGATTTGGATTCTGAGTTCTTGAATACCTATATCTTGCCCTCCAAAAATTGGACAGTTCTTATTCAATCTTTGGACGTTAATTTTTTTTTTAGGGACATAGAGAATTCTATTTAATTTCTTCTTCTTCATTTTTTCATTGAAGTTGTTTACTGTCTTGGAGGTTACATCCCCAAATTTTAGGTTCAAAAAAATATCTCTAACATGAAGTTTACCCCAAGGGAGCAAATGTACAGTATGCTCCAACAGGAGCAGCAAAGCTCTTCACACACACACATATATATACATATAAGAGAGAGAGCGAGGACCTGAATAGGGACCGGAAGAAATGATTCCAGGAGGAAGAACCTCAGGTTCATGTTTAAGCTCCAAAAAGTCATTGTCAAGAGCCTGAGTTCAAGGAAACAAATAAATTCATAGAAGATAATTAAAAGTTTGACAGTATATGCAACTCCTCACGTCTCATACCACCATGACATAACAACAAAGAATTTGCTAACATAATGTACTAACTGGTATTCCATAGGTTAAAATATGAAAGGAATATATGAAAGAGATTGACGAAGCATGTCCATGGGCAATACCATTGTTGGTCTTATGTTACAATAGGCCATGTGTGTCCAACTCCTCAAAGCAGTCATTATTTCATCAACTTCCTTCTTTACAGCTGATGCAAAGTAACACACAAGAGGGAGGGTGAGATGCAAGTAGAAAAAGGCAAGAGGACAAGAAGTTCAAAGACTTGAAGGAAAAACAATGAGATCATGGATACCCAAGTTAACATTCAAGAAAAAGAGAAAAAAAATGAGATCACCAAGTTAGTGCAGCATGAGATATACCATCTTTTGCATTTTTCTCTTTAAGTTTTTGCTGATCACTTCCAGTAAAGTACGCATGCTCAACTCCTTCCTTGGCCCATTCCTCGCATTGCTTGATTTGTTGTTCAGTTAGACCAAACTTAGATGGTTCACTCTTCTTGTTTCTAGTATCTGATTCCACAGATTTCTGCTTTGTAATTGATTGCTTTATTACATTAGGTTGAGAAGGCTTTACAGACTTCGAAACATCTGCTAATGCTTTCCTCTCCTTCAACCCTTTCTGAGTATGTTTGGATCCATCAACCTTTCCACCAGCAATACCTTTGCCTAGTAAAATTTACACAGGATTTTGTAAAAATATTACGTACCATCAACCTTAGAAAACAAGAGCATATAATAATGAAAAATGCAATATAAAATAAAGAATACCTCTACGTGCATCTATATTTTCATCCTGAATTCGAATTGCAATGGGTGTTTGAAAAGCCATCTTAATTTCTAGAACAAAACCCCTGAAATCATCGATTGAGAGAATATTAATTTCATTTTTTTGACAAATCAGTAATTATCATCAATTGCAAGTCTCCACCTCAGTGCATGCACATAACATGTGCACGAATGCACACAAACCACCTTAGTCAAAAGCTCCTTAATATTCATTGCAGATCTAAACAACTATACAACATGGGTAAATCAACAAAAGACTCCTACTAATGCCTTTAAGATATAAACACTCATATGTCATAAGCAAGACAATTTAAGGGATAGAGTTAGTGAACCCACATTAAACAAAGTTACTATAAACCAACACACGGTAAACATGTCATGTGGTCACTGGTCAGACTAAACGTGTCAAAAATCAGAGGAGATCCCTAAAGCACATACAGCATGGTCAGAACAAATATCAAAATTGCAACTTTTGTTTCTGTTCTATGAAGCATGGTAGTGCAAAGATGAGGCTATAGAGATAAAATAGAAAACCACCTCAATCGAATATCACATAATAAAGATCAATATCTAGTGTAAGCCAGGATTGCGGAACCCACCAACTCTGTTGGATGCACACAGATTCTAGGAATTATGGAATGTAATAGTAAAAGTATACTTGTGCTAATTATATGTCCAGTCAAAAAGCGCTCAGCATTATAAGTAGGACTAGGAAATTGCCATGCTTAAGCAAGGAAGCACAGCTCTAAAGCATTACTAAAATATACCTACTCATTGCACAGATGTGAAAGGCTCTCATGACTCTCATGACCCATCAAACATAATAAATAAGTACAAATTTTGGGAATCATGGAGTGTAAATGGTAAAATTACTTGCACTAAGTATATGTCCAGTCAAAAAGGGCTCAGCATTATAAGCAGGACTAGGCAATTGCCATGCTTAAGCAAGGAGGCACAGCTCTAAAGTATTACTAAACTATACCTACTCATTGCACAGATGTGAAGGCTCTCATGACTCTCATGACCCATCAAACATTATAAATAAATAAGTAAATGTTTATTACAATTAATCTCAAATGTTTCAACTTTAGTAGGATTAAACTGACATTGAATGTGGTTAGAGCATGTGCTCCGCCTTATATCAATTTCATTTCATGATAATTCATAACCAAGAATAAAATTTCTAATCACTGAAACTGTTGGAACAGAGAATAACTTAAGTGAAAACTCAACAACTAATAAGTAAAATATACGTTTCAGAGAAACCAAATCTTGAGTTTAGATCATACAAAATTCATAATTGTACAGCTTCTGATGGTTTCTAAAGAGATGCCTGTCCATTTGAATTGTATGAAATGTAAGATACTAGGTTCAGGAAAACATAAGGTTTCACTAATACTTCTCTAAACCAAACAAGCAAACGCCCAGAAGAAAGGAACAAGCAACCCTCAAGCGCTCCATACAACTTTTGCAGCCACTTTAGCATTCAATTGTCCCAAAATCAACATAAAATTACTAGCCTAATTTTTCCTTCACTCAAGCATCAACAGTCATCCAAATCCCAGAATTAAATTCCTGCAAATGGACTCTTTCTTCCCTGTAGGGAACTCCTTGTTCAAAAAACCTTTTTTTCTTTTTTTTGGGAAAAATTACCTTGTTCAAATAATTATAGACCAGACTCTGTAAACTGAGATTACCTAGGGGTACCAGAAAGATTTAACCCGAACGAATCATCAAATTAACACACCCAACAAGAAACGAAACTATTCTCATGCCTAGACATTGAAATGCCTCCAGGTACAAACTCAAAATTCTTTTTTTTTTTCCTTTCTTTCTTTGATAGCTTACAAACTCATGATTGTTCAAGGAATTAACTCTGAATTTCCCTATAAATGTGTGTGTATGTTCATACTTCATTAAACATATTTTTATGTTGTATTCATACTATTTTTAATTATACCAGACTATATGTTCTAGAATAATCAAACAATACTTTAGATATTTCATACAATGCATCATAATTTCAGATATATCTACTAAGACACAGATTCTTATACTGTATTCACTTCATGTAGATTCTAGTATATAAGCATCCAAAGTAACTAGGTAGTCTCAGACTGTAACTTGATACAAGAAACCGTGATTTGAAGTCACAATACCCATTTCTATCTTTCAGTTGAAAACGTAGTCACACATATGCGTATGCAATCAATAATCTCAGTTAGAAACAAATGTAATCTACAACACAAGAGGCATTACCTCCCATGGCACAAACACAAAAAAGCCATACAATTCCACAACCAGCATTCAATTTCAGAACCTACCGCCAATTTATCAGTTTTTGATGACCCAAATGGATGTCTTGGCCCAAAATAAAAGCAACATTCCAATATGAAAATTTAAAAACTATCTCAGAATGTAACTTTATACAATAAACCATGATTGGGCTTCATGAAACCCATTTTCTCTTTTAATTGAAAACGTACTCTCACATATAATTGTATGCAAAATAAACAAAGTTCCGAATCAAATGCATACTACATTACAAGAGGCATTGCTCCCATGTCTCAAACACAAAAAAGTCAAAAAATTCCAGACCTGGCATTCAATCTCAGACCCAAATGCATGTTATGATCCAAAATTAAAATAAACATCTCAATTTTCCATATAATAACAGATGCAAACGCGCACAATAAATAAAAAGATGCAAGAATCTAAAAAGAATAAAATAAAACAGAACAAATCCACCCTAAAAGGTTCAAGAATCAACAAATGAAAACAACAGAGACCAATCACTTCAGAATAGCGGTTCTTTGCTGATAAAGTTTCACACCACACACAGTCAGATCAAACAAGAGAGAGAGAGAGAACTCAAACTGAAACAATATTTCAACCCATAACCCTAATTGTGAAATACTAGCAAACCAACTGATAGTATCAGAATGCAACAGATGAACCAATATCCTTAAAATTAATAAATTTCTTACCTTAACCTATGAATTGAACCCGAAAACCTTCAAGATCAAAAAGCCGCAGAAAGATTAAAATATGCTGAAGAAAATGAAATTAAATTGAATACACCATTTTATTGGATGAATTAATGAAGAAAGAAAAGAGAAGATTAAATTCAAGGGGGAGATCAGTGAAAGAAAGGCTGAGAAATTTGGGGGAATAAATTGCTGAAAAATACATGGAAAATAGAGGATTGAGAAGACATGGGTTTTATAATTTTGATTTTTGGAATTTCTTATTGGCAGGAGAAAATAGGTACACGTCAGCGGTAGGTGACCGGCTATAACCGGTCGCGATTGAACCGTTGGAAATCTTGAATTTTTGGCAAGACTAGATTTACGTAAATACCCTTGAAAACATTTCTTTTTTGCGCAGGAGCTGCTTGGGCCACTTACCCCTTCGATTTTCCGCTCAATGAATCCGGGTTCCCATAACCTGTATATGAAAAAAACGTAGGGAAATTTACACTAATATCACTTTTATTTTTGGATGAAATTTGTATAGGGCTTGGGTTCTATAAAAAACAAAATAAAGTCACCTTAAATCTTTATCCAAAAAGCAGTTTCGGGCACCGGGCATCTCTATGATGAATCTAAATCAATTTCCAACACCGATAATAAAATTCGAAGGGCAAAAAATGGTACAGATCTTGCAAATATATGAACACTTAATTTTACGATGAAATGGACAATGTAGATAATTTGTTGCAATATACATGATATTTAGAGCTTAAATTCCTAATTTTTTTCATAACTAGTATGTTCAAACTAAGATGATCGATGTAAAGGTTTTCCAATGCTTGATTTATAATTTTTTATGAATTTTGAGGTGAAGCTTTACTTATTTTGATAGGGTTGCAGCCCTATCAAACTATTTTCCTTTCTCTTTATCACTTTTATCTTAAATAAAATTTGTATTTATATCCGATTTAAATTTTATAATTATAAAAATAATAATTTTTGTATATTTGTTTATATATATGAAATTTCAACAAAAATAATGTCTGGCTGATTTCTCATTTAAACTTGTCGATTTGAAGGTAGAAAATGGGTTCCATCAAATTACGGACCACGAAAAAAAAATGACCCTACGGTCACCTCTTTGGTGGTCAGTTGGCCAGCCATGCTAGCAAAAAATCCCCTAAAAATTGTAATAAAATAAAAATAATTATAAAGTTGAGGGAAAATGGCAGATTTTGTAAAATATCGTAGAAATAGAATAAAATGAATATCATAAATAAAGAAAAGCAGAGATCACATACTTTCTCTAGGGCAAAGCCAGACCCATAGGTTCGGCACCCTGAGTTGGCAACCCAGATCAGAGTCCGTCAGTACAAAGAGACCATTCATGTTGTCGTCAAGGAGATGAGCCATACACACTCGATTTGTAGAGATTGATCGGGGCATAGTGTGACTCAAAAAAATCATTCTTCCCCTCTAGGCAGGAGAGAAGGATTTGAGTATGGGGCAAGCTTTCTATGCTTTCCCTACAGCATAGAAATTCTATCCTCCCCTTTATCCAACCGTCCATTCTAAATAGAGGGCTAAGATTGCCCCAATCACAATGTCACGTCTTTACACTATTTCATTTTTAATTTTTTTCTATAAACTATTTTGAAACCAAATATTGAACATCCATTCGTCTATTAAACTTGCACTAGCGAAAAATATAAAACAAATATTTTCAATAAAATAAAATGACCAAAATACCCCTAAAAGTTTTAAGGGGTATTTTGATCATTATATTTTATAGGTGCCCCCCAATGAGAAGATGATAAGTACCAAATTTCATAGTCATACAATTTGTATAAAAAAACTAAAAATAAAATACTTTGAAACGTCAGATCTAAGATCATACGGTGAGTGGCTCTCTTGATCAAAATAGGGGGATGTTAGAACTTCTATGCTGTATGGGAAGCATAGAAACATTTCCCTTGAGTCTGAAAGGAAGATCGTGAGGTTTAATTGAGGTTTCATAGGTCGGTTTGTATAGTGCCTAGGCCCTAAACAATCAAATTAGAGCATACCTTCAAATAATGTTGAGAAATATGGTTTCAATATTGGAAATCTTTTTTAGAGCCTTAAAATATATTTTCATCTTTATTTATAAACTTTAAAACATCAAAAATAGTGTAGATCGAGAGATCTATGAAAACTTTAAAATCTTGAAAATTGATAGTAAAAAAATGCATTACAAAATACACTATTTTCAAAACTTGAAATCCATTTTTTTCTCATGTCCATGCATCTTGACGTAGAGATGATCAATTTGAGGATATTTGAGCATCAAAACAACCTCTTCTAGTGAAAATTTTGAAGTAGGATCTAATTTGATCGTTTAGAACCTCAGCTCTATATAAACTTTTGCCCGTTAGTGGGGTCACTTGAGTGAGAGAGATGGAATGGGAGTGGGAAGAGAGAGAGATGGAGAGAGAGGAACATGGAGCCGGGAATAAAGTATGGATTATGGGATAGGGTGCACTAGTGTGTGTTATAGTTGTATGGTCCTTAGTGTAGTTTAGGTTAGAAAAGTGATTTTTTTTATAAGACAAAAATTAAGATTTGGCTAGAGGGTTTAAGCACGATTTTTTATTCCCTAGAATTTTCTCAACAGAAAATGGAGTGTCTACAATATTATGCGTGTTCATATTTTTATTTCAATATTATCCTTTACTCTAGAGAGAATATTTAAAGGTGCAAATGGCTTTGAATTTCAACATTAGTAGTCAATATTATTTTTTAAGTAACTTTTAGGATATTAAAAACCTGAATTCACTCTCGACTTCATATTTTCATTATTTGAAGTGGCATTGTAATTGGGATTTTTATACAACTTTGGATATTCAAAATCCGAAGTCAAGAGTGACTTCAAATTTTCAATATCCGAAATGAAAATTCACTTTTAAAAAAAAAAGAAAAAAAGTAGTGACTTTGGATTTCAATCTCCAAATCGGATAAATTTAGAAAAATAAAAATAAAATAAAATAAAAAATAAGAAGAAAATAATGAACAAAAGGAATATACGCATAATATAAAAACTTTTGGAGGGATTTTCATAATTATAATTTTTAAATAGGATATATAGGTAACTTTCTCTAAAAGGTTCCCAAATTTTAAATAGCTATCCCTTTTTTGTGCCTTTTTGTATGAATCGGTAGCTGGTCCAGAGCCACCTCACTGCAAAAACCGTTTAAGTTATGAGTTGGAACTTCAAGTTTTAGTCATGAGTTCAGAACTTGATGATCTAAACATAGTTATTTAACGAGATATCTTGTTAAGAACTCTAATTTCAAAATTGGTTTTTTTTTTCTTCTTTTTTATTTTTCCTTCAAATTGCCAATGTAGAGCTTCATGATCTAAACCGCCCTTAAAATTGACAAAACCAAGGGTGTTTGGGAAAAAATATAGAACAAGCTAATAAAAGATGAGAGACTTCTTTGGATACCACAAAATAAAAGGACATTGGCATAAATTTTCCTAAACATAAATCCACTCCCTTGAATTTTTAATTTTTATTCACTCCATTAATTTTCCCCTTTCTAGATATATTGTCATTAAAATAAAAAGAAAAATTATCAAAATACCAATAAGAGATGAACTATTTAACCTTTTATCCATTTGCAATTATTCCAACTCATGATTATACAACTTTTGACTAATATTTGTTATTAATCGAAAGATATGAATAGAACATTAAATAGTTCATCTCTCATAGATATTTGGATAAATCTGTTAAAAAAAGAGTGTATCTTATATGCAATTTAGTCCATAATTAATAAAGAAATGTATATAATAATGTTTTAAAAACCTGGCTATATTCTAATCCGTATTGCCTAACCGAATAGTAATCACTAGAGACTGAACCGGTTCACGGATGGTACGGGTCCCCATGCAATTCCCCTCTAAAATTCCCTCTCTTATATTTTTTTTTCCTTTTTTATGCGTGTATAATATTTTCTTAGGTCCCCTTAAGTCGCCACCCAATAAAACCTTATTTGTATTTGTATTTTGTTTTGTTTATTTTTAAAAATTTTTTTGAATCACTGATTTGGATAGATAAAACCCAGTGATCCGACATGGATTTGTAGGTGAACGATCTGCCCTACCGATTTGAGTTTTAAATACTGATATATAATAAGATATTTTACTTTTGATATGAGGAAGCCACACTCATTATCAATCATTAAGAATGAAATTTGGTTATCAAGGGTGTGTTAAAGTAATTTCTCAAACTATGTAATACACATTAACTCTAAAATCCTGAGAAAAAAAAAAGTAGAAGCGGAAAACTTGTGACTAGAAGTTGAGAAACCTTGTTTGGCATGCCATTTACCATCTTGAGGTTTAGAATTTTAGGGAAGATAAAAAGTAGTTTATGCCTCAAGGAACGCACTTCTACCACATCATCTCTAGAATAGCATCTTGTGACATGTGAAGATGAATGTTACAAAATGGCAGCCCCAAAAAAAAATTAAAATTTAAAATTGATAGTATTCAAAGCATAAAATTTTGTAAAGAAATTTTGGCCTTTTATATTTAAAAGAAAAGTATATTGTTTATCTTTAGTACAAGATGGTCGCAATTAATCTTAACTATTGGATGCGAAATTAGATAGCTGCATTTATTTCATTGATCAAGCTCAAACTTCAAAGGAAATTTTATCGAACTTTGTGACACATCCAAGCTATCAGATTTCACATCGGATGGTTGTACATAATTGTGACCACCTTGTATAAAAGGTAAATGGTATATACAATCCCATATTTAAAATCCAATTTTTTTCAAAGGGTGCAGTTTGCATGCACGTAGGTGTGGAGGTAAGGTGCACCTTT